TATTTGCATGGATCCAATTGCACAAGTACACACACGCACACACGCACACACGCACACATACGCACAAATTACAGGAAGAAAAGTATATAAAAAGATATATGAATAAAACCTCTCTGTGCCTATCAAACCTTTAACGAATAACAAGAACTATTCCCCGAATAGGAAACAAGTTTAAAACTGGCCAAAATGAAGATGCAATCCCCATTTATTCAGGTAGTTGTTTTTTTTTTTTTTTTAATTTCGGACTGGCTTCTCTGGCTTTATCTTATCGGTTTCCGTCACGCACTTGGCCCGAACGAGGCAAAACCGAACCAAACAGAACGAAATTAAAGAAATACAAAAAATTGCGGCCGATCGCAGAACGCGTAGTAAAACAACTAAAAACGCCAACTGAAAAATCATAACAAACCCGCGCCAGACGACGTCGACTGAGGCACTGAGGCAGTGGCGTCTACCCAGCCACAGCTAAAGGGGGTTAAAGAGGTACAGAGAAGAGTAGAGAGCCAGAGAGCCAAGAGCGGTGTAGACCGCAGAGAACAGGTGAGCGAAAAGCTTTAGGTGCAAGCACAAATGACTGCGATGTGTGTGTGTGTGTGTAAGCCGGCTTGAAATAAAATGTTTAACTAATTTGCAAGTTTGTCAAGGCAGGGGCGGCCCTTGAACGTCTTTAACAGGGGTGGAAAGGTGAACTGCAAAATTGGTAATATATTAAGACCCAAAAAATGTACACAAAATAAGGCATTCCGATCGTAGAATATAAAAAAAAAATATATCAAAAAGATATAAACTATTTATCGAAAAAGGTTGTGAAATTATTACCGTTGAAGATATCAAAGCCTTATCGATAACATTTTATTAATCGTAACAAAAAAACCTAGAAGTCTAATAAGTTGGAAAACTATAAACATTTTAAAATATATCAAATAATATTGAAGATTTATCGAAGAAATGAAGTAACCATATCAAGGAAGTATAAATAAATATACATTCTTTATAGATAGGATATAAAATGTACATTTTAGATATCAATATCAATCACCAAGACAATTTAATTAGCAGTAAATACTGAAAAGTTGTTAGTCTTTAAAATGACTGCCTAACAAATATATTAAAAACGATGGGTTGTTAAAAAAAAGATCATAAAACAGGGTTGTAAAATTGTGCCTCTTAAAAAAAGGGGTTTAAAAACAACCGCTGACAATGGCAACCGAAAGAGTAGCAACCGCCCCCTCGGACAGCAACAAACAAGTCAGCAAGCAATGTTGTCCAAACAAACAGGTTAAATTTAAACAATGTGAAACCCCAGTGAAGAACCCCCTCTTCATATACATACAAGATTTATGAGAGCAGTCGCCGATAGCGATAACGAGAAATAGCGATAACAAATAGTCAAACATGATAAATTATAATTATGACCACGATAAAGGCCTTGGGAGGGCTAATTGCACTTAATTAATTAATTTGATTAAGCAGAAATGTATTTACTTAAGTTTAATTTAATAGAAACAGAAAATTTATCGAATTAAGATAGTTTGATAGTTTATACAGTTTATCGATTAAAAAGTGTTTGATAAAAAGTTTTGAGAAAAATTCATATGAATAAAATGGGTTTATTTTTTAATTTTAAATTATATATATGAAAAGACATAAATATCTGATCAAAGTTATTGATAACTTTTTTTAAACTGTTCCTTAAAAAAAATCTAACAAGATTAATGATTAAGGTTTATGTACGAGAGGAAGTTGTTATCCCTTTTGCGACATGTTGAAACTTAAGATAATATCAATTTTTTAATCTATTAAATAATATATATAATTTTTTTATTATATATAATTGTATATAAATATATATTTATATTAAAATAATATAATATAATATTTATATTACTCGAATCTTGAATGATTTGATCTGTTAATTTTAATATTTCACTTATCCCCCATCTCAGGTGGATAATGGTTGGGTTTTATGTGCATTCCCATTAACTTTTATCCGACAAACGTTTGGTAGGTGGGTCGATCGTTCCCTCATTTTCAGAATTTTCCATTTGTGGCTTCGTTTTTGTTCTCTTAATGAGCTTACATCCCATAATCAGCAGCACCAGTGAAATTCCTGTCAAACTGTGTGTGTGTGTGCACTCAGCTTTCAATTAATTACATTTAGCAAATGCAGGGGGGCTAAGTGGGTGTTGGGTGTGTGTTTCCACCCCTCTCCCCCCAGTTACTCTCTTGCTCTATTTACCACTCAAAGTCTCTCTTGTTTGGCGTCTGTTGTCTGCGGGCGGAACGCAGCAATTCGATTAAAAGTTGCATAATTAATCATTGCATTAAACAAGTTTATGCCAGGCGCCACCCTTAACGCCTACGGGGTTTTCTTTTATTTTTTCTTTTTTTTTCTTACTAACCATCGCCCTCTGTGTTCGTCCTACGAGTGAATGTGAAATGTTTTACTTTTAAACTGCATTATAAATCCCCAACAGCTACCCACCGAGCCATGCAATGCGTGTGTAGTCTCTTCATTACACAGACAGAAAATGTGGCTGCCTTTAAATACAGTTTTTACCTTTTTAATAGTTTCAACAACAGTTAAATGCAACGGTCAGCTGTGGGGTAATCAAATTGAATGAATAATTTCCCCCCTATATTTCTTTATTTTTTATTATTTTCAGCCAGAGAGAGAGAGAGAGAGGCTCAGAGTCAGTGGTCAATGGCCAGCGAAGAGTTAACTAAAAAAAGTTCAACAATGGCAGCAAACAAAAGAACTTGGCCCGAACCGGAAGCATTGCCCCAGACGTCCATCAAAAAGCGTTTATTATGACAGCTTTCGGTGGTGGGGGAAGCGCAGAAGTGGTGGTGGGTATAGTTAGGGTTATATAAGTAACTGCTTTGCATGCCAACTAGCTGCATTTAAAAATCAAACAAAAGACAAACGCACAAAACTGGACACCTTATAGAATTCTAGATACTTGGGTTCTTAGATTTTCAGAGTCTTAATTTTGATTACTCTTCAAGTTTACAAATATGAAAACCATGATTTTAAGCTTTGCTTATATACCTTTGTGTCCTTGGGATATGTTTGGTCTGGGCTCTTCAGTATACTATATATAGTGATATACTATATGATGATATACTACATATAGGGATTACATAGTGTCACTCTATCTTAACTTGTGAATTTCTAATGCATTCTTCAGTACAACTTTGGCTATATATCATTAGCCTTAATCAGAATCTGATTTATTTGACCTAAAATGCTTGCTCCAAAACTACCAGTAAGAGAATCCTTATGATACCCTTTGCAGGGTATTAAATTTTCACTCAGAAGCTTGTAAATCTGTGAAGGAAACATTTCCGACCCTATAAATCATATATATTCTTGATCAGCATCAACAACCGAGTCGATCTAGCTAGGTCCGACGAAAATTTAATTATTTTAAAAATTTCACAATTTTTAAAGGTGTTAAATTGTGACAATTGAATTTTGAAAAATTGTCAAAAATTTTAATACTCTTAAATTTTAAATGGAGTATGCAGTTTTATAAACTTATTAAAAACTAGCACAGAACAGCTTTCCGAATTAAAATTAATGCATTTTTGGCTTAGTTATGAGTTTTTTTAACCTTAATTTTTATTAAAAATTGGATATAAAAATATTGATAAATATCGACTGAATAAATTGGATTATAGTTTTAGTCAGAAGCTTGTTACGCTGTGAAGGAGTCATTTTCGAACCGATAATATATAAATATTCTTGATCAGCATAAAAGCCGAAATTTGTTGACTTCAATTAGGGTAATCATGGTATTGAAGATCACTTCCTGATTATCCAGATGTGTTCCATTGACCACGTCATTCTTTTAAGGTCGAATGGTAATCACTATCACTATCACTACCGATGTTAACACTAGGTACCCCTAGGACAGACTGAGGTCGCGGCGATCGAAGTGCCTCTATTTATAGTTCCCAAGTCAAGAGAACAGAGAAAGTGAGAGCGAGAGAGTAAGCGATAGGCAGAGAAACATACAGAGAAAGAGATAGCTCTAGAGATGCACAGTGGGAGTTGGAGCTACCTGATAAAAAGAGGCAGAGAGAGTAAGAGAGAGGGAGAAAGGGAGAGAGCTGTTGATGCTGATCAAGAATATGTTTACTTAATAAGGGCGGTACTGCGTTCCAAACTTTTGAGTAAAATTATAATACCATGCAAACGGATAAAAGTAATCAAATAAAATTTAGATTTCAAGAATCTTGCTGAGGAAAATATAATTTTAATCAGTGAAGGAGTCATTTCCGAACCTATATATTACATATATTCTTGATCAGCACTTTCAGCAGTCGATCTGGCTTTGTCCGGTTGAAACAAATTTCAAAAAAGATAATATTAATATTATCAAAAATTAAGAAAAATTTTAAATTTTAAATTGAGTGTGCAGTCTTATTAATCCAATAAAAACGTAAATAGGACAGCTGTCCAAATTAAAATGAAATCCTTTTTAGCAGAGCTACATATAAGATTTTTAAACTTTGATTTGTCGGTAAAATTATAAATAAATACGAATATTTGAAGTCTAGATATGATCAATTTCCGATTTGATTCCATAATTCGTTGCGGCTTTCCGAAGTTAGTTTCCTGGTCAGTTCTAACTTTCATACTATTTCTAATCACATCTTCTAATATATTCTGAGGTTTATGTAGATTTAGTAGAGTTATTCCAAACATTAAGAACATATGTATATATCGCTATGCTTTTTGACTGAACAACAGACAAACCACAGCTAAGTCAAATAGAAAATAGAGACATATAAATATAAATGGGGAAAATATAGAGCTAAGCTAGATTTTGATTTGATCCAAAACCAAATTTTATGTACTTCCTTCCCTAATTCCAAATCCACAGGTGCACAGTTTGAAATTTCTTCTTTAAGAAAATTTTCATAGCCTAACCCGAAGGCGGTTACAAAATGCCACTTTGAGAGTCACTTTAAAGAGCTAACAAACAACTCACCTGATACTTCTTGATGCTATCCAATTGCTCCAACGTTGGCTCCACAATCTGAGCGATCTGTTGCTGATGCTGAAGTGGATGCTGAAGCGGATGCGGATGGAGATACGGTGGACCAGAGTTGCTACCGCTGCTGGCATTACCTGGAGCCCGACGATCCGGTAATTGGGGGGCAGGTGAGCAGTTGACCAGGCGCCCATCCTTCTCCACCCGCAGGTGATCCCTGGGCGGTGGCACAGGTTTTGCATTCCCATTGAGCTGAACAGAGGGAAGACAGAAAGGGGGGAAGCCCATTAGCCATATTTACTTTATATACCATATATATATATATATATATATATATATATATTTATATATATTTCTCTATATGAATTCTGTGTGTAAGAGTGTGCAAGTGTGTGCGTGGCTGATGGCTGTTGGTCATTAAAGTTGAATGAGTTTATTTGTTGTTGGCAAAGCCCCCCAGCATTAAGTGTGAAAGTGTAAGTGAAACCTTCACCTCCTCCTGTCAGTGGCGTCGCATACAGGGGAAATACTTTTCAAGGCGCTTCTATATATCTAAATCTATAATGGTTGCTAAAATATATGGCCAGATTTTGGATGAATATGTAGTTACAACTCATTAATTAGTTCTCAGTTAATCGGGTGAGAAATATAGCTTGTGCTGTTTGAAATGATATTGATATGAATATTGATATGGATGGTATTGAATGTTGTGGAATATTACAGGTCAAGTGGCATTTATTTCAAGTACAATGTTCCCTCCAAGGTTACCTTTCTTTCAAATTATATGTCTAGGACTTTTCAGACGAAATATTTCAGAAATTTATATATAAGTTTATGTATAACTTTCGCTTTGTTTCTGTACTTAAAAAGTTTCCCTCTACGTCTCTGCTTTTATTTTGTAAATCAATTTGGTGTTCAACTCCCCCCGAAACAGCTTTCTCTACGCCTCTGCCTCTTTTTTTTAACCCAGTTTGGTACAGAACTTTCCCCCGAAACAGCTCTTTCTCTACACCTCTGCCTCCCCTTTTATAACCCTTTTTTTTTGGTGTCATTTACTGGCACAAGGATTGAATACTGGCCGTAAATAAATGCATTTACTCTCTGATTCGTTTCATTCAGAAGCCCAAACCCCCTGCATATTAAAGAGTATGGAAAATGGCGAAAGAAAAGGAGCTCATTTTGCTTTTGTTTTTGCAGCCATCGGAAAATTAATCGAGAGCAATTTCATATAAATGGCATTTATTTCTCATCTTCCCGTGAGAGTGAGAGGGAGAGAGAGAGAGAAAGAGAGAGAGAGGGGGAAACAGAGGGTGGTGGCGGGTGGTGCTGGGTGGTTCCCACTCCCATCCCCATCAGTGGGTGGTCCAATGTTGTTAGGATTATGCCGCTAACGAGGCCAACGCTGTGGCTCTGATGCCGCGAATTAGGCCAACCGGCTGAACAAGGTGACACAAGCGGGTAAGGGGGGTGTGAGGGGGTTGGCCCCTCCCCTTGAAAGCGGGTCAAAACTGTGGGACTTTGGCCGCCGACCTGCACTTGGCCAAAAGGAAAGGGAATCAATGGGGGTTGCGTAAGGGGTTAAGTGTTGAAGGGGGTGGCGGCGGCTGCATTAATTAGCCGAGTTGAGCGTAAAAAGCGACCCGGAATTAGTGTGTGTGTGTGTGTGTGTGTGTGTATATTCTGGGAGGATGGAGGATTCGCTTTAATTATCGATCCATATTTGATGATACATCCTCTATGTACAGCTACCTCGGTTTCTCTACAACTTCAGATTCCAATGGCCATTGAATGTATTATTCATAGAGCACAAAATGGAGTGTTATTTAGTATCAATTAAGTTGGGTTATTGTATAGGATTTCTTCAATTGGTCTGTATGTGATTTATCACAAATTTCCACTTTTGTAAAACATAACTTAATCAAAAACTATTAAATGTATAATTAGTGGCATTATTTCAAGAGGAAGCAACAGTTCTGGTTAACTGATGAAGCAGTTTCAACTATTGGTTGTGTTCTTCGTTTGGATTAAATATTATTAATCAAGAGGAATTAAAACGAATTATAAGATATGATTAATCTTTTGGTTTGGATCTATGACTTTGAACTTTGTAGTTCTAAGCAAAGGTAATAATGTGTTTAAGATGCTTAAAGCGCATACATTTTTGTATGCTAATAATATTTATATGACATTACGAATATTAAAGCTTATATAGCCTTGCTTTTAAGGCTCTAACAAAACCAACAAATTGTTCTCAAAGTTCAATTTCTATTTTTTCCTTCGTCCTTTAAATATTTAACTATACCTATAAATCTTTGATTGCAACACATCCCTCAAACAGGACACACAGATTATAGAAACTTATAGACTAAAATAAATAAAGACAGATATCGAGGGTTTTACAAAACATACAGAGAAGACAGAGCGAAACGGAGATAGAGGTAGAAAATAGAGTAGAGTAGAGTCTCCATTGGCGGAGTTGAGAGGAGAGAGAGTATAAGTGCAAATGTGGTATACCTCATCGGCCACCCTCTTCGAGTCGCTACTGCCAGCAACATGGGAAGTGCAACTTGCCAATGTTGCTCCTGCAGATGTTGCTGCAGCAACAGGCGACACGGACACGCCCAGCGAGGAGAGCGTGGTATGGGCAGTGGAGGCACTGCCATTGGAGAGCAGCGATCCACGCGAGGAGAGATGAGCTGGTGGTGGATATCGCGGCGGTACCTTCACCATTTCAATGAAGCTGTCCGGCACATCCACAGGCAGTTCGCGATGCTTGGCCAGTGGTGGCAGCAACACTGCCACAGGAGCACCAGCTTTATCTGGCTTTTGTTGGTGCTGTTGCTGCTGGTGGTGCTGCTGCTGTTGCTGTTGGCTCACCTCATAGCCAGGTGGTGCCAAACTGAGGTCATCTGGCACTGTGGAACTGCTGGTAACACTAACCATATCCATGTTGCTGCTATTGCTCGTATGCATGGAGCTGTTGCTGCTGTTTAGCGAGTTGCTGTTGCTGGTGGTCACCAGAGTCTGGCCAGGATTGCTCAGATTCCTGTTGCTGCTGCTCGAGTTGGAGTTGGAGTTGGTGTTGCTGCTGCCACTGCTGCTGGTATTTCCATTTGTGTTGCTGTTGCTATTGCTGTTGCTGTTGCTGTTGCTGCTGCTGCTGTTGCCGTTGCTCGTGGCCTGATGCTGTTGCTGCAGGTGACGATAGGCGATGCTGCCAAAGGAGTCCAGTGTGTGTTTGCTCATCACCTCATCGAAGGCGCTCGATGAGGGCGAGGCTGTGTCCTTGCGCTGATATAATCCTTCCAGAAAATCCTCCGTGAGGCTGCTACTGTTGCTGCTGTTGTTGATCATAAGGCTGTTGCTGTTGCTGTTGCCATTGGGATCGCTGCTCAGGGTTGCTTGCAATTTGTTGCTAGGTGTTTGCTGCTGTGCGATTTGTGTTGCTATTGCCGATGCTGCAGTTGTTGTGGTTGCTGTTGCAGTCACTAATTGTAATTGCTGTTGCTTCTGTTCGCACAATTGAAGTTGTTGTTGTTCCGATTCCAGGCAGTTTTCGTAGTTTTCAATTTGTTCCAATTTATTTTGTTGTTTTTGATTGTACATGTTTTGTGTGGCCACATCGAGTGAAAATGGTGTTGTTGATATTGTTGTTGAATTTGATGGTGAGTGTTGTTGTTGTTGTTGTAGTTGTAGTTGTTCATGTTGATGTGAAGAATGATATGCAACAATTAACAATTTTTGTTAGCATGATCATTGTTAGTCATACTTGATGGATAATGTTTTTGGATGGTAGTGGTAATATTGGTGTTGGTGTTGTTGTGCGTGTTGGTGGTGGTGTTCTTGGTTGTGCTTTTCGTGTGCTTCTGTGGTATTGGTATGAGGTGTGATGTTTAGGTTTAGGATGTGTCGATGTTGTGGAATGAAGAGTGTATTTGATGGTGAAGAGAAAATGCATGAATATGTGAATAGGTTGTTGTTGTTTTTGTGGGGTTTAGCTATTATTGTTAGCATGTGTTAGCTGTTTATAGACAGTTGGTAATTTCCTTGGGTTTTCTTAGGTAGGTAACTAGCTTATGTTATTTCAAAGTTATACGAGGTATCGATGTCTAAGGCTCTTTGGTTGTGATAGTTTCATGTTTAGTTAGTAAATCTATATACATATTTTGATTCTCTAGCTAGGTTGTTATTCACACTTGTTTGTGGGTTTAATGGGGTGTCTAAGCGGCTTTATTGGAACTTCCAGTTACATGTTAATTGGTTTTATTCATTTCAATTGTGGTTGTTGTACTGTAGTTGTGGGGTTTTAATGGTAAATTACTGGGAAAATCTCTCAAGTTCATGAAAGCGAAAGTTGTTTAAATGTTAGTGATTGTTTATAGGTTTTCTGCTGAGGAATACTATATATATATGGGTTCTTGGTACAGAATGTGTTTTTGGTTGGTTGCATACTGTTTGTTGGCTTGCGGACACTGGATTCGTGCTATGGTGGATCATGGACTATAGACTACAAGATTCGTGGCTTACCTGCGGTGGACGGGGTGGCGGATATCTGGGTGGCGTCTTGTTGCGTGCAATGAACGTGTCCGGACAATCGACGGCCATTTCGCGGTGAGGACCTGCCGGAAAATGAAGGAAAATGGATGTCAGTTTCCGACCGTGGGGGGCGGGAGAGAAAATTCTCACCGTTATCTTGGTTCACGGACAGCATGGTCAGCATTTCCTGGTCAATCTCCCTGATGTCGCCCGAATGCGTGCGATAGTGCTGATGCTGGTAGGGAGGATATTGCAACGATTGCGGCAGCGATTGTTGCTGCTGCTGCTGCTGGTGGACCTGATGATGGTGCTGGCCGCTTATGTAGTCATCCGGCAGACATGGCTTTAGATCGTCACCATCCAACACAACGATGCTTGAACCGGAACGCCGGCGATTCCTGTCAATCAAAAACAGAAACGGAAAAGAAGGAAAATGCCATTAGTTGGGGATTTCATTTATATTTGAAAACTTGAATTTACAATTATAAAGTATTATCAATTATTATACAATATCTAAATTTAGTTGTACAAGATTCGATATTTATATAAATTTTAATCCTTAACGGAAGTGTTATATTAAAATGTCACTTGCTGCATATCCTTTGAGGGTCCTATTTCCCTGCTAATTGACAGCTTCCGTCGATTGCAGCCGCTTTGTGCTCAGGTGCAAGCAGCGGGCACAGTTTTCCCGGCACTCCACCATTATTATTATTTCAACAAAGTTATTTTCCGCACAAAGGCCCAAGGGAGGCGAATGGATTAGGTATGCCTCGTAGCTAAGAATACATATTTATACATGTAAATATATATGGGTAAGTACTAGGGGCAACTTGAAACTGGAACGCTACCGAAAACTTTGTTCTAAACTTTGCACTTTTGCCTTTCTCTTTCATTATGCGAGAGGGTGGAAATTGAGGTTTTTTTTTTGTTTGAAGGCAATTTGCGCCTTAATTTGTTCGGCTTTTAGATTATGGGTAGAAGGATTATGGTAGGAGAAGGACAAGGACCAGAATCAGGAGGTGAAGCTGGGGCCGGTCGGCCGGCTAATTGCAAAGAGCTCAAAGTGGATTTCATGCCGGACCAGCCGAGAAGTATGCAGCGTTTTATCGCCCTTCGCCAGACGGCGATGCGACAAAAGCAATTTCAGCCGCCGCCGCAGCCTGGCAACGACGTCAAAGTGCAGCCCCCACTCTCAATACCCGGTCATCCTTTGTCCTTCAACCCCAAACCCTTTGGGATCCCATGAACGTCAACAGCAGGCAGGCGTTGGCAGGGAATACGAGTATCACTGCAATTTTTCCTTCAATTTGTATTAGCAAAAGCTCTCATCTATTTAGAACAATTTAATATACATTTTAAGAGCACTGCAGTATATAGTATTCCAATAAAATATTAACTATAATTCAAACCTGATTATATTCTATCAATACTTAATATTTTTCTCACTGCAGCGAATGTTTAGCCAGGACTTTCGCTGCAACTCTCTTTTAATTTCCATCATTTTATCCACTCTACTCCTAAATCTCCTCCTCTATGCCCATCCAAAGGCGATGCTGGACATTAAAAACTGATTTCTGGAGAATGTAGATGAACGACAAGATGGCCAAGATGGTCTCCTTAGGCTCCAAGATGAAAGCAAAGGAAGCTGGAAGTGGTGAATCCAACAGGAGACAACATGGGCGAGACAATTCAATTTGCGTAACAGAAATGCAAGGGCGGCAAGCTCCTCATCATCGGCAGAAGGAACCTCTTGGAAAAGGGTCCTGGCAGAGGGGCGCACATCCTCCCACCATTATTGGAGTCAAGTCAACGGGTAGCGCCAAATGAGTCGAGTCAAGATGGGAGCGAGAGAGAGTGACGAGGAGTGCATCCATAAACGAATTAAAATGCCTTTGGCTCTGACATCCAGAACGAAACGGAACCAAGGCCAAGTCTAGTGCAGCATCCCAGCATCCCAGCACCCGTGGCCATTAATGCAACAGCTGGTCAACCAGTCAGCTCTCTCTCTCTCTCCCTTTTCTATTTGCGGCATCTTGCCATTTTTTCTTGGCATCTTACCGCATCTTGGCAGCTTTTCTTACTGCCCCTGGCAGATGTTCGATTAGTGACGCACAAATTAAGCAAAAGTGTGGAGTTTAAGCCAAAAGCTTAATGGGAAATCTTAAATCTTAACCTTTTCAAGCAGGAAAAGTGATCTAGAGATAAGGAGTTTATATACAAAGTATAAATCTATAGCTATTTATATCCCAAGCTTGGTAAGGGTACTCGTATCTAGAAAAGCTTTTGAATAAAAATAAATCAAGTTCCCAGAAGACACAGAAACACGCAATCAAATCAAACTATATAATCTAGCAAGGGAAACTCATTATCCAATACTCGTGCGATTAATTTCAAATTGGTGGAAATGCACACCGCTTTTGGCCAACAGCAACAACAACATCAGCATCAACATCAACAATCAGCTGACAAGCCGGCTGTCATATCCCTATTTAGCCAACAATTAGCACAGCACTCACAGCCGCCAGCTATCCGCCATGCATCCAATTGTCACCCATGACATGCCCGACTAATGACCGCATCGGTATACCATCCCACTTGGATTCAGATTCAAATTCCCCTCGTATCCATTGCAGCGTGTGTATGTCGCTGTATCTGTTTCTGTATCTGTATCTGCATCTGTGTCATAACAACCAGCAGAACAATGCTTCGACGATGTCCGTGCAGGATCATCAATAACCCACGGCGATAGGGTTGTGGAGTATGAGGATGAGGAGGTCAAGTCAGAAGCACAACAATTGCTGCAGCTGTCAAAGTGGGCAGTGTGAAAGCGAATCGTACATTGATGTGGTGGGATTTCACTTCTGTGTCATGGAAATTGGAAAAATATCCTACCACGTCAATATTATAGTTTGGAATGATTATTATATCAATTAAGAAATGCATACATAATAATAAAAATATCGTAATACTAATTTTAAAAAAACCCTTGCAAGGTATACAAAAAATACAACTTTTACAGTTTCTAACATATTTTTATCAAATTGATTCAAAGCTAAAAAAAGTAATACTATAAAATTTCGTGTTTAGTTTTATGAAAATCGGAATACTATATTACATAACTGCCTGAGAAACGACTTTTAAATGTAGAGGATCATTAACATTCTTTTAACAGTAAGTATCTATGACCAGCAAGTATCTATGACAAGCACGTATCTATGATCAGTAAGTATCTATGAACATTAAGAAACGATGACCAGTAAGTAACTATGATCAGTAAGTATCAATGAACATTAAGTACCCATAAGCACCAAGTATCTATGAGCAGTAAGTAACTATGATCAATAAGTATCACAGAACCTTAATTAACTATGAGCAGTAAGTAACTCTGAACATTAATTAAGTATGACCGGTAAGTAACTTTGGACAGTAAGTACCTAGACCAATTAGTAACTATGAATATTAAGTAACTATGATCAGTAAGTATCTACGTCCAGTATGTATGTATGTAAGATCACTTACTAACTTTGAACACTAATAAACAATGACTTGCAACTTTTGTAACACAACACATATCTGAGACCTGGCTGGCAGCAGTCACTTCGTTCCGGGGATGTTAGAACAAGTTGGGAATCATATGTACAAGTGTGCGAGATTTGTTTTGGAACAAAGAGCAAGCTATTTGAATGAAACTATGGGGTTATTCTTCTATTTAATTTTACTAGTATATAAGTCGGAGCATGACGAATCGGTGGGCTATATATATATATCTGTATATATATCTGACATAGGAACAATCGGAAAATTAAGAAAAAATAATTACAACTTTTTCAGTTTTCAACAGATTTTCATAGAATTTAATATATATTCATTATATATTAATCTAGAAGTTTGTGTAAAATTTTTTGAAGTTGCCATACAAACGATCGTTAAAAATAGATGAAATCGCAAAACGGTGAATGAAATGACATATAATAAACATAAATATATATAATTTATATTGTATTAATTTCTAGTGATCGAATCTGCAAGGGTATACAAACTTAGGCGTGCCAAAGTTAGATTCCTTTCTTGTTTCAGAGTGCAATGCCTCAGGTTAAGGATGCACTGGGACGAGACAGAGCGATGAAAGGAGACAGATAAATTTAAGCACATCCCAAGGGGGAACAAGGGAAGCCATTAAATATACATATATATATATATATAACATAAATATATATATATATATATATCCAGCTGACCAGCAGTCCAATGCTGATGCCACATGTATGTGTTGCACGACAGCAGCAACATGCGACATGTTAATTGTTTGCCAGAAAGTCAGCAGCAAGAGCACGGGACAAAAGGCACAAGACAGACACAGCTGCGGTCAAGTTAATAGTATTATTCAGTTAGAAAAAATAAAAATAAATAGAGTACATCAGAGTCATGTAAGCAAATCAATTCATCTGTATCCATAGTAAACATATAAAATACACACTCTTTTAGTACATATATCAAAGTCATATTCAAATCGTTAATTCTAGTAAATCAACGGTTATTGTACTCGCTTCGAACAGGTGCCTGCCACATACAACTATCCGAGGGTTCATGCTTGAGGGCGTGCAACAAGTGGCTGCCTCAGGTGCACTTACAACAGGGAATTGGGGTATAGGAATTGTTATAGCAATCGGAATCAGAATCGGGAATCGTGAACTGCTAAAAGGGGACCAGACCAAACCAAACCGGAAGAGGCTTATTTGCACCGGAAGCGGCAACCATGAGTCACTCCGAACTCCATTGCCAGAATTTTGGGACCACAAACCCCCACATTCCATACAATTTCATTCCATTATGCAAGCAGGTATAATCCGCCTCGTCTCGGCCAAGAACTTGTGGGTGTGACCCTCAATTGGGTGAGCTCCCAATGGAAGATCGTAATGGATTGTGGTTTCGGATTGGTACAGCAAAAGTGTTGGATAAGCAGAGTAGCAGAGCGGTGAACCCACACGGGGCAGGTAATGCAAACTGCACCGAGGAGCTGCTCATCTAAAGCTGGCATTCCATTTGAATTATTCATTGCCAAGGAAGCCACATGGGTGTGGAAATGGAGAGGGAAATGTACAAGGGAAATGGAGGGGGAAATGAAAAAAGAAGTTGGAGTTGGGGAAGGCAATGTAGAAGCAAGTGGCCATAACAATTGAAGCTGGCTTAATTGCCGAGCAAACCGACAGGTAAACTAATGCTTTAACTCAGAGTCAGATATATGTGGATATTTTTATATTAAAAAGTTGAGTTTAACAAGATCAAGTGTTATATAAATATAAAAAAGTTCATTAAAATACTAACAACATTCCAGCTAAAAACAAAACGAAAGAAACACATAAATAAATACTAGTTTTCCCAAAAAGTAAGCTACCAA